AGCAAAAAAATTACCACAATTACGGCCAATACATGAATATATTGTACTTCATACTGATTTTGAATCTCGTATAAGATTTATTGATCAAATCTAGTTCCTATGCTTCTCAAGTTTTATTATCTATAGACATTTTCGGTGACATTGATTCTATCTTTATTTATTTTATGAATAATACCAAACACTATTCATCATGAGCTCTCATCTTACAAAAGCGATCAAATACTTGAAGACGTTCAGTATAATTCGGTTTTAGACTCTATCGCACAATCGTTCTTCACCATAACTTAGTGAATGACATACTGACGAACATGATATTTCAATAAGTTTTAAACCTAAATTTGTGCAAATTTAAGTTCAAAATTGAAGCGAGTATTAGTTCAAATAGGTTCCTCATTCTTTTTCCATATTCTCGTAAATTAATTAGAACAGCACTAATTTCAACAAATCGATCTTTATTTTTTCTATGAAAAATTAACAAAAAGAAAAATTCGGAAAAAAAACAAAATTTTCTAACGTCGTAGATATTCATCGAGTTTACCACCAGCTTCTAATTTACGTTCAATTTCGACCAATTTTGCTACACCATCAAGAACATGTTGAATAATTTCAATCTAAAACAGAGACAACAAAATTAATTGTATGAAAGAAAAAAAAAACATAAAACAAACGAACTTCAGTTTTTCCAATTCGATCACGATTTGATATATCAATACAATCTTTAAATCCTTCTATATCAGGATCCATAATTTCTTCCATTGTTAAATTAAGATTTTTAATAATCGTTGGTAAACGTAGATCTTTTGTTAACAATGGTAATTTTAAATAAACATTAATTTTTAATCCAGTACCAATATTAGCTGGACATGTTGTTAAATATCCAAAATGATCATCATGTGCAAATGATATACCTTCATTTTTCATTGTATTTTCTAACTAAATAAATAAAATAATAATAATTAAAAAAAAAGAATATAAACAAATGGCTTTGTTTTTTTTTTAATAATTACTAAAGATATTCCTTGAAAAAATTTTGCTATTACTGAACGAAGATTATTTTTTGCATTATTTGTACTCCAACTAATAAATCTTAAATGATCTTTTTGATTAATCCAAGCAAATATATTTTTATCATTATTAACATAAACAGCTCGTCCATCAGGCCAATCTCGTGCAACACCAGAACTAAGCCAACTCATCGTTTGAGGTTTATATAAAAGAACACCATCCTAAATAGAAAAAACAACAACATATTATCTTGAAAAAAGATAACAATTAAAAAGTGTTGATTGTGCCGTCAGTTCTAACTGACTTTGAACCAAGATTATTAAATCGATCGCACTGTGGGAGAAATTATTTTAAGCTTGTTATTCATAAAATGTTTCAGTAAATTTGATACCAAAATTGAATCTACTTTTTATTGGAATCAGCTTAAAAAAAGAAACAGGTATTGCTGATCAACTTGTAAATGTTTAGATGGATGAAAACAAGTCATTTAGTTTTCTTCTATTAATCGATAGGTGAATATTGAAACAAGACTCCAGTTGAAAATAGTGAAAAGTAATCATTGCTTTCTCTATAGCGACTGAAGTAACAAAACAATTACTTATAGATTTTCTATTATAGAAAGCTAATGAAAGAAAACGTTGATCTGTCATCTCTTTAATTTTTTTTTTCAAAATGAAATTTTATCAGAACCAATTTCTTTTAACTGAGATCGAAACCCGTACTAATTTTTTTAAGCTAAGACTCATGTCTTATATGGACTCTAATATCCTCCTACATACTTGCGCTTACATTGGCTAAATTTTTTTGTAATTCCTCGTCCATCATTGAAAGACGATAATAATTTCCATTAAATTGATTATCTTCTTTTATAAGTTGTTGAAATGCTTTATTTAATTTTCCTTCTACACGACGACGTTCAGCTCGTGTTGTAAATGTTGGAAAAGTATAACCAGAAAGATTACGTGTTATACGTATACGTGATGATAGAATATATTTATTTATATCAAATGTATTATCGGATTCAAATGGAAAACGAAGTTTAGTTGTATCTGTATCATGATATTGACGTGCATCTAATCCATAATTATATCGTATACGAATTAATGGATCAAATAGATCGCTAAACATCTATTTTAAAATAAATTTTTTTTTTTTAATTATATTTAAAATATAAGAAAATATTTTACTTTATAAGATTCTTCGTCACCAGCTGATACTCCAAAATATTGACGATTTGGTGCACCGGGATTATCAACACCAACTTGTATAACATCATCTATAGTATATCCTGATGGTGTAATACGATCGCGAAGTTTAGCATACATCTATTAAATTCTTTTGTTTTTTTTTACATAGAGAATGAATTTAACTTCTAACCTGTGGTGTCAATTGACGAGCCATTAAATTTGCATGTTTAGTTAATTGAGGATATTCTGCAGCTGCAGGATAGCGTTTTAAATGTAGACTATATGAACTAGCATAATGATGATATTGATGACGATGCCATAGAAAACTAGCAGTACTAAGACCCACTGATGAAACAAGAACAGTTAATTTCCATTTCGGTTGATTAGTACCAAAATGAAGAAGAGAACGAAAGAAGTTTGAATAGTTAGACATATCTAAAAATTATATAAATGTAAATAATTTTCTTCATACTGTTAAAGAAAAAACTATTTCAATCATTATAATAATAACAAAATAGACAATAAAAAATTATAAGTTGTAATAATTTTGATATGTGACATGATTGAAAAAGATATATTTATTGAACTGTTTGTAAATTATCAATGAAAGACGTAGTATTTTATGATCATCAATAAAAACGGATAGATTCATTATTAATTTTAAAATTATATGTATTTGATTGATTTTTATATTTGAGTAATCAATGATATTGTTTGTATTTAATTATGACAAATGCTTCGAAGCTTTTACAATAGAAATTAATTAAACAAAATCGCTTACATACCAATCAAACCAATGAGATACATGTACAGAACTGTTTACTATATTAGATATCCTGAATTTTTTTTCTAATAAGAGGATCTTTTTCTATATAACGGAGATATTAAATTGTGGAAGTTTTCCATGAATTAACATACTGTTTATCGATTATACGAATTAAAGAATGATTCGATAGATGTCACATACAACACATACATGTGTTATCAAAGTTATTCGATCAGACCAAGTAGTGATTTGGGTACAGAATCTAATATCCAAAAAGAACTTTCAAAGACGAAGATGATTGCTAGTTTTCTAAGGATAGCCTCTCTAAAAAACCGAGACCCGCTTTTTTTCATCTGTTGGAATTTGTAAATGGCATTCACTTTCAATTACCTAGAATAATAGAGAGAATAGTTCACAACGAAATGACATGTTCTCCAGCTCTCTACACCGTATTTAATCGAGACACATTAATCTTCTAGAAGGCAAAAAAGTTGCCTTTTTCGTCATTTTATTGACCGCGATAGTTTTTGGGAACAGCTTCTACACCATGGACACCGTCTTAGGGGCAGATATGCCGCTGTAGAGGCCTTTGATGAAAACATTATCTTTGTGCATTTTGTTAGATTGATTTATCTCGTTGAAAAAGCATTGCAGAAAACTGTTTAAAAAAAATAGTAAATGCTAATCCGCTAATCTTGAAAAATCAATACAAGTTTTTTTCTTTTTTATTTAATAAACTTATTTTTATTTTGAAAAATTATCAATAACATTAGAATCAAACTGATGTATATAATAGTTTTATTTATCAAAAACATTAATCGAAATATATCACATAGAACTTGAATAATATTAAAAATTTAAATATTTGATTCTTCTTGTAATGTTTTCCATTCGCCAGTCGTTTGTCTAGATGAATAAATAATCAAACGAGATATTATTACGATACCAAATATTATCGATCCAAATAAAACAAGACCAATTAAAGTTACAATAATGATAAATAGTATTTTAATCATTTGTTCAACTTGTCGCTTTTGCTCAGAACTTGAAAGTAAAAAAAAAAACAAGATTATCTATATTTAGTTAGAAATAATTTTAATTTTGGAATCAGTACTATAAAAAATTGATAGAAGGATTTGATAAGACTCAGTTACAGAAGAGCATTCTTTCTTTTTGTATTGTATGGAATGTACCTGTCAAATATTTATGATAAAGACTATATTCTGGACATTACTTAGCTTTAGACTTTGTCTACAGAAAGATCTGTAAGATAAAGATAAACATTAAAATAAATTAGATTTGTGATAGTTTGGTAGTAACTTATGATCGCTGCTTTAGTGAATTTCATTTCTTAACTATTATAATTTCAATCGAAAACATAATTTTTCTTCTTTCTGTTAAAGTATTCAGAATATTCTTACAGTTATGACATGGATTTTATTGGTCAAAGTTTGGATCTATAAGAGTACTTTGATGAGACTAACAAATGTCTAGAAGGGTTTGCTCTCACGGGTCTTTAGGGCTGAGCTACGATCGTTTTACCGAGCCATTGGCTTCCGAACTAGCCTCCCCTTGTGTAAAATAGCTGTTCAATTGAGGCGAAAAGTCTAGAATGATTTAATTTTTCTCGCCTGATTTCCTAGTTTCGACTTCAAACTTTGCATGAACAAAATTTTCTTTTACACATGAGACGATTTCGAATATTTCATAAGAGGAGATATTAGAAAGATTACAATTCGCATAATCAACTAATCTCATTAAGAACTTTGCTCACATAAAGTTTGACGTCGACACTAGAAAGTCGGTTTTTTATGTGATCCGAGAGAAATCATAGTTTTTTGTTGAAAAATTCAGTAAAATTTTTTTGAAATCTTTAAAACAAAGGTCCAAAAAACTAAACCATTCTAGACTTCTCTATTACTCACTAGTACTCATCAAATGAACATCGTCTCGGTCGAAAAACACACCTAGAGAAATACCCTTGTTAGTTATCTACATTGAAAAAGTTAAGATACTTATGATTCCTAATTATGCAAAACTTACTAAATTAATGGTTTATTTTGTGATAAATGAATTGAGGCTTTGGTAGTTATTATAGATTTATTCTTTCTAAAATTAAAAAATCATAAATATTTTGGTTTCAACAATGACAACAAATGCTTACCGAAGTGTAATTACTTTTTCAGTATATGGTATGTGTGTTGTTTCATCAAAATTGTTTTGTCTGTAATTGAGACATACAAAATATTTTTAATGAAATTCTTTAAAAACTTACTGAAGAAAACTATTAGAATTTTTTGCCATTATATCTCTATAATTTACTTGTTCAGTTGTTTCTATGAGATTGATATCTAAAACGAAAAGTTCATTGCATAGTTTCTCTTTTCTTTTCAAACAATTATATATTCCTTTTAACCTTTCTCACAAAAATCTCCTTGAAATTGATTCGAACATATACATTTAAACCCTTTCTCATTTGTTGGTTCATCTATACATTGACCTTCATTTTTACATAAAGTTGAATCAAAAGTACAAGGTCCTAGAAGAAATTAATTATTTTCTATTAAAATATGAATTGTTCAAAGAAAAAAAAAAAAAAAAAGATCTAAATTACCTTTCTCACAAGCTGTAGTCAATGCATTATAAATCAAACCAGATTTGCATTTCATCGAAATACTTCTATCATCAGTTTTACATATTATAAATTCATCAAAACGATTTGGTACAGGTAAATATGTTCCAGGTGCATAATTATGACAAATAGTAACTAATAACATAATCAAATATAAAATATAGATGTAAATTAACATTTACTTATATCATCTTCTATTTTTGTTGATAGTTCATATTGACAATTAACCTAAAACAATTTTGTATTTATACGAAAGAATAAATTCAATAATTGTGACGGTACCAGTTGAGAAGGTAAACACATGTATGTTTTTGGATCAAAATGAAGTCCATTTGAACATTTAAATATTTCATGATATTTATTTTCATGACAATAATGAAAGAGAGAACAATCGAGTATATCTGGATAAATTCCAGTTTGAATACATTTTGATGTTGCTGATTTTCGATGATGATGATATTCGTAATCTATATATACGTGACAACGAGAATTTGAAAGAAAGCATCTAGAGAATGAATGCTCTTTCGATAGATGAAAAACCAAACTAATGAATGATCAATTGAAGAAAAAAATTGATACTTAAAGAATCCTGTTTCTGAAATGTCCGAAGAACGGCTCATCAGAAATATTCGAAACTTTCAGTAGAGTAAAACATGTCATAGACTCCAACTCCCAAATAAGTCCTTTCATGAAATATCTGGGTCACGAACATTAAAAATCGCTTAGCTATCTCAGCCGCCCTATGCTTCATACAACTGTAATTCTTTTTAAATATAACACTCCAAAAATACATACTTTCTTTTGTAGAACTTGCCCAAAATCAACAATATAATATTTTTCAAAACAAAAAAGATTTCAGTTGCATTGAACGCGCTATCTTCTGTATGTTGTGAAATTTTCTTCTCCAACTAAAATGATAGACAACTAACTGTGTTAGAGGACTATAGCCGTTTATGGTCTTTCAGCATCTTTCGAACGAGAAATAATCATTTTTATTAGGAAAAACAAAAAAAATCCAAAAAAAAACTTTGACATATATAAAGTATTTTTATTTACCTTTAACGATTTCAATAAGTGGATAAAAATCTAAATCCATCATTTTTTGAAGAATTACTTCACATTTAACTTCTTTTTCCTAATATTTGAAAATGATATCATGCATAAAATTATTTTAAAAAGAAATTAATTCTTACCATTGATAAACGTTGACAGCGATTACTAATTGGATTAAAAAAGAATTCATCAATACATGAATAAATTCTATGAATACCAAATGTACAATGATGAAAAAGTGAACAATTTGTTGTATGAACATATGCTCCAGTTTCACTAGGACATCGTTGAAAATTAGGATCTTCATATGGTATAGTTAATGGTATTGGAAAAAAACTTCCTAATTATAATATGAAAATAATCATAGATAAAATAAAAAAAAAATTATTTTCTTTTATTATAACTTTTATTTAATTTCTTACCATATTCTGATTGACATAATATATTATTGAATTGTAGAAAACTAACAATAATAGTAATAATAATAACAATAAGTGTATGCATCTTCTATTTGATGTATGTCTATATGAATTAGAAAGTTGCGCCAACGAAATGAATAATATTGATTGCGTGTGATTTGGTCACCAAATGATAGTGGACCTTTCTATACATGATGTAGTGTCTCGGTACAATACTCATTTATTTATACATTCTTTCTATAGTGTATTTTATCATTGACCGAAAGTTCAATCTTTACATTAACTATAGAATTGCTTGCTAGGCTTACTCGTTCTCTTTTTTCTTTTCTTCACTTTTCTTTTTTTTCTATATTACTACTAGATACATATGAATGACATTGACAACATATATATTGAGACAAACATTTACATTAGTAGGTAGTTGGTAAAATAATTAGTTCGATTCTAATTGCATTATTCCGCAAAAGAAAAAGAAAAAAAGTTTCTCTTCGATTATCTTATTAAATAATTCAATAAAGATTTCTTTATTCTAAACAACAAAGCCTTCCGGTTATTTTGTTACTTCGCTTTTATTGACAATCTTAATACCATGTCTAAATGCGACTACTGATTATAAGGGACTAGAGTCGTTGATGAAGATAGAATTCCAACACGTTTCACTCATAACACTTCATCAGAATTAGTTCTTTATCCTCTTCCTCTTCTTTCTTCTTTCTTCTTTCTCTTTATCTCCTGTGTCGAAATGTTGCATTGTGATTATTTGTCGTACTTGGTATTTATATTGCGCTTCTACGAAGAGCAACAGAAAAGAAAAGAAAAATAGATAGAATGAACCAAACAAGAAGAATCTTCAAAGCTAAGTAGAGTAGCGTAGAGTATTTGTAGGAATATATTCATCAAACACGCTCCATCTGGTTAAGATCTATTATTAGTATCTCACGCATATAATTACCATCGTCAACTCTTTCAATAGATAATAATGTCGCATTGTAGTGAATATTGTTACAATAACTACTATAGATCGAAGCAACAGCTATTGTTTTGTTTTATTTGACACAATATAATGATAGTTAGTGTCGCGTCGGGACATAAGAAAGCTCATGAGCTAACACAAACATATGGTGCCTTTCAATAAATGAAAAGATCGTATTCACAAAAAATAATGAACATCTGTTCCTACTAACAAATATACAGAGATCTGTTGCAAAATCCTCGTCTGTACTCTTAAAATAGAATAAATCTCATGTAAAATAGAAGCTGTGTATACATGTTTTGTAGCTATTGTTTGATTTCAATTAGATATACATTAACAAAAAAAACGAGTTTTCAATATATCTATTGAATATAAACAGATTATTATCTTAGAAATATCAATCAAATCAATGGCTAGACGTTTACATAGGATCATTATACATATCAATAATATTTAAAATGAATAAGAAAAATAAAGATTTTTTAACGATTGATTTGGTTCGTCTGACCAATATCCGATAACAATCAGAATGCATAATATATAAAAATACGATCAATAGACACGATAATACGTAAAAAAAAATGAAACATGTAATCGACCAATAATTAAACTGTAAAATATGTCACATCTTATAACATCATGTGGGCCTCGTAAGACCGAAAATGGAGAGCAGGATGACCAATATTTGACTAGAAATTGAAAGCAAATTGTTATGAAAGACATCTACTTGTGATTAATTAAAATAAGAAGTTTTCGTTTTTTTTAAATATATGCTCACATTGTCTTTGTGAGGTAAGATTGAATAACTATCAATAAATTTTGCGAAAAATTTCAAAACTGTTTCTCTACAAAGCAAAATAAAGGTTTTGGTATTCAATACCACATCATTGTAGAGCACTATGTTCTGTACAAAATGAGATACTATAATAAATGAAATCTCATCTGTGCATTTCCAATAAAGATCTGGTGTCTATAGAAATTGATATCGATCAAAAAAAGTCATTCTTTAAAAAACCACAAAAGTTGTAAAACTAAATCGTGGCAGTATTGAGTCATTTGCAACTGCTCGGTATTTTGAATTTCATAGTTTTCAATCGAAATACAATATTAATTAAAATAGTATTCTGTACAATCACTATGTTGAACCTTTTGAAATAATCTCATGATAGTTGTTCAATGTTATCTTAGAAGAAAATCTTGAAAGCATATTCGAAAAAAGTTTCATTCTAACTAACTCTAACCAGTTGTGTTTTAGTCGTTGAAAAATGAGTAAATATTTTGGCGCTAAGACTTTCGCGTCACAGATTTTTCAATCAAACAAGACTATTTAAAAACACACGTAAGGTTTTCTCCAGATTTACATGTTTACTCTGAGAATTTCATGAATTTTTTCTCCAATACAAAATGCATGTGGATAAAGGCCTTGCATATTGTGTAGAAGTATCAAGTTTTAGAAGATTATATGATAAAGTATAACAACATTGGTGAAGCACTTCGTATACAAAACAAAGTTTTAATAACTGTATCCGAAAACTGCGCATAAAATGATATTTTCGACAAATGTCATGCATAGTAAGTTTTTTTTTCAATAAATCAAAGGTGAGTTGTACAACATGTTCGAAATAACATTTTCCACTTAGGCAAGTGACATTAACAATAAGTGAGAAATAGGAATTCGATTTCTTCATACTGACAAAATAATTAAATTCGAAAATGACAATTCTAGCAAAATAAATAGATATGGATTAGTTTCGATTTTTCAGATGAAACATCATCAGAACAATCAGTATATGACCAGTTATGCTCAATAAAGCATTTAGAAATACATTGGTTTGCTATATAATCTGACTGATTAAAATTTGTAATATTCGATAATAATTGATATATTAGTAACATTAACTATAAACAACAACAGACTGTCGAAGTAATCAATATCTTTGAAATTCCATTTGATAAAACTTCCAATATTCCACATGATTAAAAAAAAACAAATAGAATCTTTAGTAGGTTATTGTTTGATTTATGTTTTTTTGTTCTAACATGCTTGCTTTATAAGAAACAAAGCAAATCATAAACGCATTCAAAAAAAAACAGCCAAATCTAATAATCACTTGACTTATAAATACTAAAGTTCTAGACATAAGATGCAAATTTGCATATGCCCTAATCATGATGATATACATTGGAATCAATTCAGTAATCAGACTTATGAATAATAATGAGTTTGGTTAATAGCAAAATTTGATTTTGATTATCACATTGCAAATATAATATTAAAACAATAAATGACTTTTGTTTTGAAAAATATAGAAGAGAAGTTACCGAAAATTATTTAATTTAATCAAACTCTTCTAATTGATATTTTAATTCTATAAACTTCGTTCTATTAGAATAAAAGTTAATTTTCATTCTTTTTATTTGATTATAAAATAAAAAAATCAAGATTTTTATTAAAATTCAATAAGTTACATATAAAAATCGTCAACTCCAATATTAATCTTGCATTATGACTATGTACCAACATCTTCGCTATATGATTTTCAATTAAAATTCTAACATAGTAGGTCATATTTTATTCTTATTAGTTTTATTACACTATTATTTTTTTTTTGATTAGCTTTATAAACACTGAAGAACAAAAAAAAAAAAAAAAAACGGAATTACAATGATAAAAGGTTGAATATTTACATTGTTGTTTTATAGGAAGTGAACGAGTACCTAACACATACATTGATGACATATTGCATTCAAGTGTATAGGTAGTGTACTAATAACAAGTGGGTTATAAAACAACACAAATAAAAGTAATGAGACTGTCACTACGAAGAATAATATATATATCTTTTGTTTTTTGCATCTATTATTATTATTATTATTATTATTTTAAAATTAAACAAAAAAAAAAATGTAACACTAAAACCATATGACCATTAGTTTGATATTATGTATGTATAAAGACTGACAACAGAAATAAAGAATATCAATATCTATTTACACCCACAAGAAAAAAAAAAACAAGCGGCTGAGAAGAATAATATCAGATCTTGAGACCAAACAGAAAAAGAAAAACATACAAATGACACAAAAAAAAAAAAAATAAGTATGAGATACTGTCGACTAGGTTGTGAATTATTCACATGTATTGCATTTGTTGAAAGAAATATCTTGTATATTGTCATGTAAATTTAATAAACCCAACTAACAGGTACCCATTGAGGTTGAAGGCTAACTCGTTCAATAGAATGTTGTAACTAATAAAAAAAAATATAAAATTAATTTCAAATTTTCTAAAAAACCTGTAAAACATACTTCTCGTATTGTTTCTTCAATATCATTATTAACAATGACTAAATCAAAATAATGACCATAAGCTTGTTGTAAAAGTTCACTTTCTTTTACTAATCGTTCTAAACTTTCATCCTATTCAAAAATAAATAAATAAATTTTTTTTTCTTAAAATAGAATCAACACTGAAACAAAAAAAAAAAAATTTATGTTTTTTTTAATTTCTTACATTAACACCTTTTATTTGTGAAAGATCTGGTGCAGCAATAAAAACAACATATGGTGCAAATTCAGCTGTACGTAAAACTTTTAAAGCTTGTGGTTCAACATCAAGTACAGCCATAAGACCTTGTCGATTAATATTACGTATTGTTTCAAGTTTTGTTCCATACATAGCATCATCATGTGTACCATATTCAAGATATTCATTATTTGCTATATCACGCATCATTTCTTCATGTGTTACAAAATAATAATTTTTACCATTTTCTTCATCTTTTTTTGGTAATCGTGTCGTATCTAAATAAAGTAGCAACAAAAAAAACATAAGATTTTTATTGTATAAATATATATAATTACGTGGTATTGGATAAGCAAATTGTTTTGGTTGACTAGTTATTAAAGTATTTTTAATATGTCGACGACCAACACCATGTGCACCTAAAAAAGAATAAAAAACAAAAGAATTTCAATAGAAAAATTATTACCAAGTAAAACAAGAGTTTTTCGTCGAAATTCTGGTAAACGTATAACTTCTTCATATGTAACCAAATCAAGTTGATCAAATACAGCATTATGTTTTGCTAAATATTTATCTTTCATTACTT